GAATTATCATTTTTTTAATAACTAGTTATCAATAACATTTATAAAAGCGAAAACTCCGTTTGAAAATATGTCATCTCAGTGAAACTGTTTTGGTCAGAAGAAAGAACAAAAGAGTCAAACTTTTCGTTTTGATATTTACAGACATTCCCAGAACTTGTGACTCAGTCATTACACAGATATTGTTATAAAAGGAAACACTGTATAGTATTGTAAAGTTCTGATGACCTATTGAGGAGATATTTAATATATCATTTAGATGAACAATCCGAGCCATCCCTACATAAACATTGCTTTGAGGAGGTGCAAAGACCAAATACTTTTATAATTATAACTGTAAATTCGATAATAAGTTGTATACTTATAAATATAAACTTCTGACGAGGGTTTGTTTAAAATTTTTAAGCAGCATAGATTTCCTTATTAAAATTTTTAGAGATGTAATTATAAGCCTAAATTTTTTGATATTTGCAAATTTAAGCCTAGTTATTTTAAAACTAATTAAGTTTTCTTTGATCATAAAGTGGCATGATGAGCCGCTATTACGTAATATGATCACGATCTGCTCGCACCATATACGACCCTTTAGCGACACCTAGTGAGCTATTTCAAAAGTAGCTGTAAAATTAATAGCACAGAAACAAAATACTTTATGATTCCTTCGTTAGATTTCAGAGGTTCAAATGTAAATATTTAAAATTGTTCATACAAAGAAACTAATATGTACATAAGCAAGAATTTTGTTTTTATATAGAGCTACTAAACTTTTAAATAATAATTTATTTGGTTTATGACTGCAATATAACGCGTAACACTACGAATATTAAATGGCCTTTCGAGTCTCAAAAGCTATTATCAGGATAAAGCGCGTTAAAATTAACGTGTTAACAGCTAAGAATAATCTTCAAAATTATCGTTTTAACAACTAAGAATGATCTTCAAAAATAACGTTTTAATAACTAAGAATGATCTTAAAATTAACGTTTTAACAACTAAGAATAATCTTCAAAAATAACGTTTTAACAACTAAGAATGATCTTCAAAATTAACGTTTTAACAACTAAGAATGATCTTCAACATTAACGTTTTAACAACTAAGAATAATCTTCAAAAATAACGTTTTAACAACTAAGAATGATCTTCAACATTAACGTTTTAACAACTAAGAATAATCTTCAAAAATGACGTTTTAACAACTAAGAATAATCTTCAAAATTAACGTTTTAACAACTAAGAATGATCTTAAAATTAACATTTTAACAGCTAAGAATAATCTTAAAATTAACGTTTTAACAACTAAGATTAATCTTAAAATTAACGTTTTAACAGCTAAGAATTATCTTCAAAATTAACGTTTTAACAGCTAAGAATAATCTTCAAAATTAACGTTTTAAAAACTAAGAATGATCTTTAAAATTAACGTTTTAACAACTAAGAATAATCTTAAAATTAACGTTTTAACAGCTAAGAATAATCTTAAAATTAACGTTTTAACAACTAAGAATAATCTTCAAAATTAAAGTTTTAACAACTAAGACTTGGCTTTATAAGTTTTATGAATTTTTTCTTGATTAATAACCCAACATTTTTTTTTCCCAATATTAGTCCATCGAATACAGTCACTGCCTATACAAGAAGACAATGGACACAGTCAAGGTTTTTCTTTTCTTGGAAGCGTTGTTTTTCACTAAGCCTCATTCATGCGCCCGAGATGCAAGATGTATTGTTAAACCAAGGTAATCTAGCTTTTCCTCAGTCTTTCAGCTTCCATTAGCTCAAATCGTATTAATGGAACAGATCGCGAGGCCAGAAATTAACGCTCCTACCAGCTTATGTTACTCAAAATAACGTACGTTAGCCGCTGCAGCCGACAAATCCCACTTCAGATCTCTCCTCATTTGTCTCGGCTAAAGTGCAGAAGTGGACTAGAATGAGTAAGGCATACACTTCTGGACACGTAAATCCCTACCTAAAATATATACACCATATAGACGTAATAGCATTTAGTATGGGCACTTCTTTTCTAGGCTTCCATTTTCAGCACAATATGTCTCACTAATGGAACACGTAGAGTAACGTTAACATATGTGATTTCCGCATAGCTATAACTGAACATTTTATAAAAAAGAAAATAACTAGTCTACAGAGCATCAGGGTTTATAATAAAACAACTACTCAAGTTTAAACATCCTGAGATTTATGTATGTTAAGACATACACAAAACTCAGCCCCCCCCGTCAGTGGCTTAGTGGCTTATAACGCTAAAAATCGGGTTTCGATACGTGATTGGACATCTGAAATCTAATGTACTTTTTATATCGAAATATATTAGGCTTATAGGTTTGTATAGTATATGTTTTATTATTCGTATACAGTAGTATATACCTCGCTTTTACCCCCCCCCCCCTTTATATACGACGCCATTTGTGTTTGACTTAATTTTTTGAAATAAAAATGATTTAAGGCAAAGTGTTGTATTGTTAGTTTTTTCCTTTAGACATCAGAATTAACGGAAATGTTGTTTATTTCTTCGAAATGATTATAAAAAATACTTCATACTTCAAATAATTATACATATTTAGGACTACCTGTACAAGGAAAACATTTCACCCGAGTCACATTGAAAACTGAAAAAAAAATACTTATCGTAAGGAAACATTT